TGACGCAGCCGCATCAAGGATACATGTTTGCCGTTATTAGAGAGAGTGCGGGCTGCAGCCCGGGCAGGCCTCCCTCGCGCGGCCGGTGCGGCCCGGCACGGCACGGCACGGCACGGCACGGCACGGCCCGGCACGGCACGGCACGGCACAGCACGGCCCGGCACGGCACGGCCCGGCACGGCCCGGCACGGCACGGCACGGCACGGCCCGGCACGGCACGGCACGGCACGGTACGGCACGGCCCGGCACGGCCCGGCACGGAGAGGCCATGATGGAGATGCGAATCTCGGTAGTGCTCTCGTGTTGACCCGCAGCAAACGTGGCCAACAAGCACGTCCGCCGGGATGGTTGTCGGGATGGCTGCCGGGATGGCCCGGGAGGAGGGAGGCTGCCCCTGCCTGCCCACCGGGCCCAGCCACGGCAGCCCTCATATGTCCGAACGGGTGTCGATCGGCCCCGCGGGACGTGGCCAGCCACAGCGCTTTTACCGAGATTTGATTTGTTCGTGCGGATGGCCGTGCTGTGTCACCTCGGCCATCTCCTGACGACAGCCACTGGATGGCCGACCGCGGCGTCGTCCGCCGGGGACGCACAGTGGGCCAGAAGGCCGGTGGAGGCGGACGAAACTCTAGACGCGTTTTGAGCTCCAGAGTTGCTAAACGGGCCTCGAACCGAACGTGTGACCCCGCCAATGCATTGCTCTCCGAACGAGGAATCCATTGGTGGGGTCACACATTCGATTTGAGTCCCGTTTAGCGACTCTGGAGCTCAAAACGCGTCTAGAATTTTGTCCGCCTCCACCGGTCATCTGGCCCACTGTGGGACACCCGCCGTCCCCGGGGCCGAGGGCCGAGCGCGGTCGCGGGGCGCGATGAGGGGCCGGCGGCCCACGAGCACGGCGGTGGCCTCGGTGGCCTCGGCACGGGGCAGCAAGTGCATACACCTGGTGCAAACAACGGCGAGGTCGTTAACGTGCGGGACAACGCCGCCAGAATATGGCTAGACACAGCCATTTCGTTTGCGCCATCATTGCCCTTGTCGGTGCGATCACACAGCTGTGTACCAACACTGGTACGTTGACCCCACCCGGTGTGGTTGCCTGGTTAACTCCCGAGTCCAATTGCGAGTCTCGCCATTCCGAACAGAGGTTCTGCTTAATCCAACTCCAGTCCACCTTTGGGCAGACGCGTCCCGTCAGCCAAGCCCACCAAGTGAGGACTAATCTAATTTCGGTAAGTTACGGACCCCCACCAGGTTGTTGCGGGGCAGGCCCGGCAGGCCCGGCAGGCCCGGGGGAAGGCCGGCAGGGCTGGCGAGGGCAGAGAGCGCGCTTAAGCTACGCTCCCGCTTTTGCGCGGTAACCTTGTCACTTGAGAGTCACGCCGAGCCGCGCGGGGGCGACAGCGGGGGAGAGGGTAAGCGTAAAGGTGTGTAGGCGCAGACACGGCGCGGCGTGTGTGCCCGCCCGGCCTGTGGCACGGCCCCTGTTGAGTTGGCAAGCTGCACAGCGCGGCCCGCACTGATGCTCCTCGTTCTCGGCCAGGGCCGCCCCGCCCCGCCCCGCCCCGCCCCGCCCCGCCCCGCCCCGCCCTGCCCCACCAGGGGCCTAACCAACCAGGAGCCCCGGGGCGGGGACCTTGTGCCTACACCTGGAAAATATTGTCCCCGCCAGAGGAAGATACTATTTCAAGCGCACACGCACCCACCGCGAATGACAGGGCACTAGGGGACGCAGAACTAGTTGGTGGCTTCCTTGCATGGACAGTCAGCAATTGTCTCTCATCGCCTTTGTGTAACTTGCATTTATTTTTATTTAAGTAACCTGATTCGTAGTCGTGTTTTCTTTTCTCTTGTTTTGCATTTTATTAGTGGCTGCATGGGAAGAGAAAATTGTTTGTTGCCATCCTTCATCACATACATGAGCAGCCCAATGGAAAAGGGTCCCCTTTAAAAAGGATACCCTCGGGAGCAAGGGGAAAGGGGGAAGGAGGATGTGCCAACTTTCAGGCGCCGTCCTGTTTTTAAGCGCAGATTAAAGGTTCGAGAAAAACGACGCTCGGCGGAGGTTTTTACTACAAATGTAACCTCACACTTTAAGAAAATATGACGGAGAGAAGGTTCGGAATATGTTTGGTTCTGGGACCTGGGACCACTCTACTTGCCCGAGTACGGACTTACCAAAAACACCACCAAAAACATGTGACGCAGCATACTGCTGTTGTTTCGTTTTCCAGCGCATAGTTTGTAGAACGGGAAAGAAATTGAGCGAAAAACTATGGCGATCGGTTGATCCTGGTCGTTGTGCTGCCCCTCCAGCGCCCCTCCAGTGCCCCTCCAGCAACGTAGGGCAGCCACGCCATCGCGCCAGTCCAGCCGGCAGCAACGACGGAACAACAACAACAACAACAACAACAACAACAACTACAACAACTACAACAACAACAACAACAACAAAAACAACAACAACAACAACAACAACAACAACTACAACAACAACAACAACCCTCACGCATCTCGGCATTCCACCGACACCACCGTTCGGCCAATAAAGTTTTATTGTGTTTCTGCCCCACCGATCAGGACTCGCGCGCTGAATCGCCCTCTCCATGGCGAAGGCTGCCGCTGCTCACCCACAAAGCAAAACCGAAATCAATGTAAAGTGCAGTTGGTTTGGCATAATCAGGCTCTGATTGTTCCTCGGTCTCTGCTTTCCAAAAGCAGTTTCTGGAAATAGTCGAATGGTGGCATTTAGAGTGAGGTTTAGTTAGCGGGCCGGACAGGCCGATTCCAGTGCTTTCGTCACTCTGTCTCTCTCGCACCCCCACGGAATGCCGCGTGAGTGCGAGAGAGACAGAGCGACTAGCCGGCCGGAGTGCCGGGGGGGGGGGGGGGGGTGGCACCGCGACGCCCGCACTGTGACGTGCCGCCGCGCGCTGCCGTGCCACCGCGCCACGCACAATTAAACCCAAGGTCAAGGAATCGTAATAATGAAAGCAAGAGGGGAGGGGGGGGGGTCTGAGGAAGCAGTTGGGGCGCGGCAAGTTCTTCCAAACACACCTGCCACGTCCAGCCGGCTGTTCAAAATGCCCTCCCCTACTCCCGGCGTCCCGTTCCCTTCCATCCCATTTGGTTTTGGTACTAACAAGAAGTGCCAAAAAGTTTCAGGATTCCATGGACCGCGACAAGAGAATATAATTAAGCCAGTTGACCCGTGGGAATATGAGCACTTATAGTTAAGATCTGCAGTTCGACGCCTCGGCAACGCAAAAACCCTCGATTGCTCGCGCCTGCGATCATAACTTTTTCAGTAAGCCCGTCATCCTTCCAGCCGCAGTATTGGCCCTCCTTCATTCTTCCATGTCCCACTGGGCGCTAACCTTTCCTAAATAGTCGCCGTCTTGGGAGGGCTTCACCCGAACTGAGGCTAGGTTAGCGCCCTAAAGGAACTTGTCAGAAAGGGGGCCGAGATTTCGGCCGTAACAACGGAACCCTTTACAACTTGACTGCCGTTGGCCGTCGGGAAGGCCTTGAAGGCGTTGACACCCCGCTGGGTGTATGCCGCCCCGCCAGGCCCCGCCAGGCCCCGCCCCTCTCCACGGCCGTCGCCGACTGCGAGAGGCGAGCGCGAAAGATGGGATTGATTAATTAATAATTTAGGACGCCGGGGCTGTTTTGCCCGCGCCACTTTGGAGCCGCACTGGGTGCTAAGCAAATCAGTGCAATTACACAGCGCGCGTGGAGCGTGCAGAGCGCGGCTAGCCGTGGGCCTTGGGTGGGCCCTTGGTGGGCCCTTGGTGGGCCCTTGGTGGGCCCCTTGGTGGGCCCTTGGTGGGCCCCTTGGTGGGCCCCTTGGTGGGCCCTTGGTGGGCGCCCTTGGTGGGCGCCCTTGGTGGGCGCCCTTGGTGGGCCCTTGATGGGCCCTTGGTGGGCCCCTTGGTGGCCCCTTGGTGGGCGCCCTTGGTGGGCCCTTGGTGGGCCCTTGGTCGGCCCTTGGTGGGCGCCCTTGGTGGGCCCCTTGGTGGGCCCTTGGTGGGCGCCCTTGGTAGGCCCTTGGTGGGCCCTTGGTCGGCCCTTGGTGGGCCCTTGGTGGGCCCCTTGGTGGGCCCTTGGTGGGCCCTTGGTGGGCCCTTGGTGGGCGCCCTTGGTGGGCCCTTGGTGGGCCCCACGGCGCGACAAGGCCGCACGCCACCCCCTCGATTCAGCTTGCACCGCCAGCGATACGCAGTGACGTGCCGCGTCTCGTTAACGACAGTCAGCGACAACTTGATTCCACGTGGGATTTCCGCCCTCTTGCACAACGCGTCGCAACGCGCTCCATTTACGGAATGCCACACACGAAATAGAAAGGCCCGTGTGGTTTCCACCGCTGTTCGCAGGGATTTTCACCTGAGTGCGTCCGAGTAGTTCTCTGCGTCGAATGCACACAATTTAGTTCGAACACTCGCAAAGCGAGGAGCTCGCGCACGGATATTTCAAAGGCACGCAAAGTTGCGAAAACGAAAACTCGCAGCAACTATTTGCGTGCGCCGGTATTTACATTTGGTGTGCACCTCGACGCAAGGAGTAGTCTCGGGGGAATTGCCGGGGGTGGCTTCAAAGAGGGGATTGGATTATTGGCTCGGCAGTCACACTCCAGTCTCGTCGCTCCGTCTCTCTCACAGAGCCGGTTCAAGTAGCTCATTAAGTTGATTAAACCAAATTTTTCAAGTAAAAACTAATTTAAGTTTGGCCTTCTGGTTCCGTTTGTAAGCTTTCTTAGGGCAGTTTCCCTTGAGTTTTTCCACTGCCAACTATAATTTTGTAACTGGGACAAATTTTTGTCGTGATGAATATAACCAAGTGATAACTAATCCCTTTCCATCGAGGAGGGCATCTCTCATTTTTGTTGTTGTTGTTGTTGTTGTTGATGGAAACGGTCGCGCTTTGTTTCGTCAGTTCGGACGCCGCCGTGGTCACGCGGCGCGGTCCGGCCACGGGCTACGCGTGCACGCGTGCCTTACCATGGTCAGCTCATGTGTCCCGGTGTCGCCTGGTCCTCGCCCACCCGAGTCGTCAAAACGATTCGATTAGTTTCAGTTATCCAAGCCGCGGTAGGCGGGTACGGTGTCGGACACGTTCGCGCGGCGGGGCGCGGCGGGGCGCGGCGGGGCGCGGCGGGGCGCGGCGGGGCGCGGCGGGACGCGGCGGGACGCGGCGCGGCTCGAGCGCCCCTCGCCACGCTGTGACGGCCTCCGCGGCGGCGACGCGGCGACGGGGCTGGCGGTGCGCGGCTGCCGCTGCCTGCACTGGGGGTTGGCTGGTGGGCCGCGGACCGGCGCTACCAGTCGACTGAAGGGCCGGTCGGGACGCGACGCCGGGCGAGCCACCCCGCCCAGCCCAGCCCAGCGCCCCGCCAGCCGCCAGCGCCAGCCAGCCCCGTCGCGCGCAACCCGTGGCACCGCGTGGGTGTCTAGGGGTGGCTGCACGCCGAGCTCCACGACCAGCGCCATGCTCGTCGCGCTGTCTCTCTCGCACCTGACGTCACCCTCGCGAGTGCGACAGAGACAGAGCGACGAAAAAGACTCTCGGAATCGGTCTTGAGGCCCGCGGGGGATCGACGGCAGGCAAGCTCCGAACACGAACACGGCCGTTTACCGCTGGCAGATCCCTTTCCCCGGGGAGTCAGAGCGAGGCAGCCCGGCAGACAGGCAGGCACTAGTGGGACCGAGACCGCCCGGCCCAGCACCGCCCACTTGTGGTGGAATCTGCCTGCAGCCCCCTGGCCCCCTGGGTCCTGGGACGGGACGGCCCCATCCCTGCCGCCTGCCCGCGCCCGCCGCACACGCCACGCGCCTGGAGGAAAGTGCAAAGAAGACTGTTCAAGCAGCGCCGCAGTCTCTCGACGAACGGCCATCTCAACCAGCCGGAAGAAGCAGTGTCCGACGAAGCAAACTAGCTGCACCTATCACGATTTTCAGAAAATGTTGCCTCATTGTCGTGAGTTAGTGAGCCTGCAGGCGGAAAGGGTCGTTTTTCGTGGCGGTCAGCCTTCCAGCGACACTTTGAACCCCACGCGGCGTGCACCAGCAGGGGCCCGCGGCGAAGCCGGGCGAAGCCCGTCCGCGAACAGTTATCAAGTCAATTACGAAACAAAGCTCCGCCAGTGGCAACAACATTCCGTCCGGGAAGTGCAGAGGCAGCTGCCTGCCGCCCTCGCTGCCGCCTGAGCGGATCCGCCTCCGCCGCGCGACACTTTGTCATCGGCGGCCATCTTATTAGGGGAGGGACCTCCTGGGCCGTGTCCTCGGCGCCGCAGTAGACTGATGCCGAGAGTCGTCTCGATCGCCGTCTCCCTCGCACCTGTACGGGACGCCCCGTGAGTGCGAGGGAGACAGAGCGACGAAAGCGACTCTCAGTGTGGCAGTGTTGTGGGGCAGCTCCAGGTAACTCGCGTCCGCGACAGCGACGTTGAGACCTTGTCGGCGCCGCCGTTCAAAAGAGTCACTCCTGCAGCGAGCGCCGTCAAAGGAAGCCCGACGCGCCCGGCCTGCTCTGTGCCATCTCTCGGTCTCCTTCCTCTCTTTGTCTCGACCATTCGGCCCGGCTGCCCGGGTGCCAATCACGGGTCCCCATTCTACCGGTGTGCCCGCCGAGGTGTCGGCGGGTGTCGCCGCTGTTCGACGACAACCCCGCTACAGCGCGGCCCCGCCGCCCACGCCGCCCTCAAGGTGAAGCCCGGCGGTCTCCTCATGATGAGCCCCGCCTGCGAGATCCAGGATAATCGCATCCCTAATTCAATCGGCCCGGCCGACCCGGACGTGCCGCGACGCGTTGAGGTGGGGGGCGCTGCTCCTGCAAGGCATGCAAGCCAAGCCGCAGCCAGCGCCCGGCGGCCACGCAGCCAGTTAGGCGGGCCTGCGCCGCGGGCCGGTCTGCCTGCAGGCGCTGCTCGCGCTAGACAGAGACAGAGACACTGACGCCGCGCCGCGTTGCCCAGACGAGTGTGAACGAGTGGAGGTGCGTCGGTGTCCGATTAGCGGATCGACGCCTCTGACCAGTGTAGTCTCGCCGCTGTCTACGGTGTGGGCGTCAACTTGTCGTGACGTATAGCCGACCGCCCTGAATGCAGCCGAGTGGCCATGCGACGAATGACTGGCATTGTTTGCCCAGGGTTGAGACGTACGGTTGCACCCCTGTCGCCTGCACTGGAAATAGGCCTGCCTGAGGTGAAGTGCAGCAGCGGCGCGAGGACGTGGCCGGGCCGGGCCCCCTCGTGCCGAAGGTGAAGGAAATTAGCAACGTGGACCAGGACGGCCCGGTGCGCCCCGCGGCCGACGGCGCCCCGCACATTTCCTCGCAATCGGAAGCAGTCCGGATTGGCCTTTCGATTGGCTCAGCCGACGGAGGAGACGACGCGCTCGGTGCAGCGGCGGTGCAACGCGGCTGTGGGGTCGCTGCCTCGGTCGCTGCTGTCGCCGTTGTTGCGGTGTGGGCGACGGGCGGGACACCCACGCCAAGTCGCGTTAAGCGGCGCCAAGACACCGAGAGCAAACTGGAACAATGCGAGGGGGTCTTCCAATCAGTCGTGTGGTCGCGTTAGCGTGTGGTGGCTGGGGGTGGTTGTGGGTTGCTGGAGGGAGGGAAATTGGGTCCCCATCCCCAGGCGGGTGGTGGGAACAATGCAACAATACCACTTCCTCGTCGACTAGGGCCCAGCGCACTCAGCGCAGCCCAGCGCCCCGGCATCGTCCCAGCGGACGCACCGACGCGATGGGTGTCTAACCACCTCCCTCCCTCTCAGTGTGTCTACCCCCGACGCGTCTATCCCCGGCGGGGGAGGCCCGCCTGTCTTGCTCGCCGTGCACCAGGGCGGGTGCACGCTGCATATCTTATCAGTCCAGATTAAGGCTGTCCGGACGGCACGCACGGCGTGGTCTGACCCCCCCCCCCTCCCTCTCTCCACCGGTTTTCGCAATCGTCGAATACCAGTGCACCTCTCCGTCGTCCTCGGGGTGGTTCTTCAGACTCCTGAAGTTCTACCAGCCCTCGCCCTCGCGCCGCGCGGCCGGGTCCGGATCCGGGAGTCGACCGGTCTTCCGGAGGTTCTCTGCGGGGCGCGGCGGGGTGCGTCACAGCCTGTGTACGGCCGGGCTTGGTCGAAACAGCGTAAATAAAATGCCGTCGTCGCTTGTCTGTGGTTTCGCGCCACCTCAATGAATTGCCCACATCCGAGCTTAAATCTACTTGCCTCTTTTCATGAATGTCTCGAGCTGCTTGCTGATTCGTGTTTCGTCGCTCTGTCCCTCGCTCTCGTGAGGCGTCCCTTAGGAGTGCGAGAGAGAGAGAGACATGGCGAACTAGACTGCATGTGATTGACAAGGACGGTCCGTCAGCGCGTTCAATGGCAGTGATTAGTCCGAGCGCGGCAGAAATCCGTGTCAGCGGTGAGTGCGAGAGAGACAGCTGCACCGAACGGAGCCACTTACCAGCAGGCCCCGTAGTACACTGCGCTCGGAGCGGCCGCCGCAACATACTTCGAAATTGGAACCTTTTGTAGTGACAAGACAATGGCACAATAGTTATTTGCGCAACAAAAGTCTTGACTTGTCAGAACAAAAAAAAAATCACGTCACGACCACCGCGACGGCTCAGGACCGTAAACGAGTCAAGCGGTCTTATCCGCACGTGTTGACCAGGAAGCGGTCGACTTACTGTCGGTACGTCAGTCTGGAACGCCCCGGAGGAAACGCCCGCGGAGGGAACGCCTCACCGTGAGCGGGCGTTCCGAGAACACGATGTATTCCGGGTGTGACCACGGCTGTGGGTGTTTGTTTTGTTTTTGTTTCGACTGCGGTCGGTTAGTGGCCAAGCGTCACCAGCCAAGGCGGAAATAAGTGACTAAGTCTTCGTCGGACGCGAGAAAAACCTTTTCTCGCTTCACTTGCACGGCTTTCGGTGTCTGAGTGTGTACGAGCCACGAGGTCGGCCACCTGCTCACTCGCTCGACATGATCACGATCTGGCAGCGCTGTGTGGAGGCCGGCGGAGCATCGCCACGAGTGACACTCGGCGCGCGCGCGCTTTCAAATCAGTGCAGGAGGCCAAAACGCAGAGTTTGTTGCAGCAGCGCAACGCGGCGATCCACCTTAAAATTTATTTTATTTTTATTCTGCCACTGGCATAAATACGGAACAGGAAAAAAAAAGAGGATCTTCCTCCTCGGGCTCCAGGTCCTGCTGAATTAGGGAACACCGCAGCACACATCGTGCGTGCGTGGCGCCGCGTGGCGCTTCATGAAATTCCAACCAGAGGGAATTCCCCTCTCGACATGAAAACGCTTGGAAAACCGCAATTACAGAGAATAATTGCTGTGGATCTACTTTTTTTTAAGGTGTAATGAAGCTCGTTTTTGCGAGTTTCCGCCTTCGATCTGCATGGTGGGCATGGTGGGCACGCCGGGCCGGCAGGGCGCGCTGAGGCTACTCCATGCCGGGCCGGGCCACAATGGGCCAGAAGACTGGTGGAGGTGGCCAAAACTCCAGGCGCGTTTTGAGCTCCAGAGTCGCTAAATGGGACTCGAACCGCACGTGTGACCCCACCAATGGATTGCTCTCCGAACGAGGAATCCATTGGTGGGGTCACACGTTTCGTTCGAGTCCCATTTAGCGACTCTGGAGCTCAAAACGCGTCTAGAGTTTTGGCCGCCTCCACCGGTCTTCTGGCCCACTGTGCGGGCCGGGCCGCCGCCGGTCGCGGCGTGGATGGAGGCGGATGGTGGGGCGGGTGTATCTGGCGGCACTGCCACCGCATTGCTACCGCCACCTCAGTCTGTCAGTCAGTCACCAGGTACTCGGTCGGGCCTTAGACGTTAGCGCCGCCTGCAGCGCGCCAGTCGACCGCCGCGCGCGTGCGAGTGTCAGTGTGTGAGTGTGTCGGCGAGCGAGCGCTGGGATAAGTCTTTGGCAGGTGAGTGCAAGTTGGCAGTGAGGTGGACTCTCGAGGTCCTAATGTCGCCGACACGCGTCGACCGACGAAAATCGGAATCCTCGCAGTGACTCTGCGCTTCCGCCCAGCCCGCCCCCTCACTGATATCGATTTCCCG